TTCTTATACCCATGCCCACTGAAACATGACTATTGCTAGTTCCTCCCACCTTACTTTATATTAAAGCATTGTGGAGTGAAGTCCTGTTCTCAGTTTCCAGAGAGGTCACTCTATCAGAGTCTCCAAGCAGATAAATCGGTCCTATTATTTAGTAACTTCAGTAAGAGTTGTGGCATGTTTGTGCAATGGATTGCTTGAGAATCTGTTGGAGTTGGGTCATCTGCATGTTTTTTCAACACACGTAAGGAGGAAAACTTCAATTTATTTTGGCTTGTGAAGTTGTATTTAGAATTACAGATAAAAATATCAAACTTTATCTTATATTTTAAAATAGACATTATATTTAGAAAAGAACATCTAGCTCTATCTTGTTATTTCTTTATCACAAAGAAGAGAAAAATAAAATCCGTATTTAAAAGACTGTGGAACATTGTGCGTTTAAAGTACTCAGCAAGTTATTCCCTAAAGCACTCCATATGATATGTAAATCTTTTGATCTTTCACAAAATGCATGAATACCATAAAGAATAATGAGTACAAGCTTGCAAAATACAATATTGACTGTCAATGTAGTGCACTTAGCCACAATTATTTGCATGGCTTTTGCAACATAACTGGAGGGGATACTTCTGTGACTATGTTAAGTACATGGCCGTGTCTGCTAAAAAAGATTTAATTTTATACGAAAGACTTCCTTTTCATTCTCTCCTTCCATTGGCTATCTTTTTTTCAAGACCATTTTCTCAAGATAGAAAGACTCTTTGGGAGAGGGTAGAATTGGCTAGAATTTAAAAAGAGAAGCTCTGCTACCCTGTTGTTATTAATTACCATATGATGGATAAAATAACTTGGCTTAGAAAAGTATTACTCTCTGATACCCTGCAGAAAGAATACTTAAGTCATGATAAGCTGTTTTTATACAAATATTCTTTAGTTCAGCAATCTGAATGAAAGTTTTCCTTCAAGTTTAGTTTGGAGAATAGTTGAACTGCCATTTCTGAACATTTTACAAATTATAAATTCTGAACTTGTTCAATAGGATTTCTTTGAAACAAAGTAGACAGTCTTTTTATATACAAGTTAAAATTTTAATATTTGAGTTCATTTGATGGTAGTCAAAGTAATGAGTTACTTTGTATTGTGACTGATGTGCTAGAACCTGGCTGGTTAATCCAGTCTTAACAATATAGAGTTGCTAGCTAAAGACAAATGACTCACTGGGAGGGGCAACAGGTCACATGATCTGGGAACTTGAAATAAAGTATATGGAGCAAAATAAGTCAGAATGATAAAAACAAATTTTAGACATTCATATAATAGACAATCTGACAACATGTAATGCTTTCAAAAACTACCGAGCATCACCAAATGTCCTAACTGCTTTGAGGCTAACAAGGAGGGAGAGAGGAAAGGAACAAATAAGGACACACACAAAGAGTCAGAACAATTTTTTAGTTAATTTTTCAGTTTTGCTAGAAAAATAAGTAATGAATAATTTAAAATGCATTACTTTGCTATCATATACATATAAATAGCTAATGTTCATGGCATTTGATTCAATATAATGTAGATGAGCAAATATATAACATTAAGTAACTCAGAAAATACAATTATAAAGTTAAATGTTAATAGCTTTCAATTTAATTTTTATCTTTAAAGTTTATTCAGCCATTTTAACTTTGATTGAATTAAGAGTACTTTTAATTAATAAGTACTTTTGCACTTACTCATTTTATGTATAAGTACTTTGTACTTATTCACTTTATGTATAAAGCACACGTCTATATACATACTCATAAATGGATATACAGTATATCTGGGCTATTGAAATTTCTTGAAGAGGGATAGTAATTAGGAGAAAAGCAAAAAACTCTCCTTAGCAGGTGATAATATGAAAAAGACTGAGAAACACCGCACTAAGGTGTTATAAAAGGATTCTGAAAAATGTCCATTTAAGGTCAAATCTTTACAAAAGAGAACAGAATTAAGGTACATCTCTGATACCTTGGTTTGCTTACTTTTTCTATCTTAGCCTAAATTATCAGTTAGTTAATTGTCTCTACCCAAGTGGAACTTAGTGTAAATCTCTGTAAGAGTCTGGAATATGATTAATACATTAAATATTCAGATATTCAAGTGAGAACTCATTCATGAACACTTATTTTAAAACCCTCACTTTCCAGTTTTCTGAAAAACTTTGTCACTCATGATTAGTTTCATATAAATGATTCATTCAGAAAATACATTCTATAAGATTGCCCTTTTTAACAAATTATATACCTTCTGAAATCTTTTTTAATGCTGTTGTGCATACTTACTGATTATTCTCTACAGACTTAGTGATTTTTAAAAATTTTTACTATAGTATATGGTAATTAGAATAAATACATAGAGATAGATAAGTAGGTAACTAGATAGACAAACAGATATCTATATGGTGATGGGGGTTGGTGGATGAAGGAACCCAAAGCAATTTGGTGGGTGAAGACAATTAATTCTGAGAATTTGAAACAAGAAAAATTTATTCATTTACTCTACTGCCAGTGATTATATTTTTATTTTTAAAGTGCTAACAAAGACTGTTGGTTGGTGTAAAAGTGCGTTTTAGTGAGTATGTATTACCAGTTCCAGTAACTTACCCTCCAAGAGCCAAAAGAACCTCTTTTAAGATCAAATATGCAGACAGAGTGCCTTTTAAATCAAAACAAAATCCTTTTTATATTGTGGTTTACAGAGATAGAAGGCACATACAGAAGACAAACTGATATGCAAGTTTTTGTTTTATGATTTCCCTTTCATTTGCTATTAGATAAGAGTGTTGAGAGGAACACAATACTAGGCTATTGTTCCAAAATGACAGACCTTCGCTTTACCTTTAAAATTACCCCCACAGAGATTTTTTTGGTCAAGATTAGCAAAATTCCCCTTCATTCTGTTTGATGCAGGCCTTTTGTAACTATTGATTTCCATCAATACTTTATCCAGAAGGTGTCAGAAGTGTTCTCAGTACAATTTCTTTGGGCCAACTTCTGTAGTCACTCAAAATCTAGGAGCCTAAAAATCACTTTGAATCTCAAAGTAAATTTTCCGTTATGTTTTTAATCATTCAAACATTCATATGTTGTCACTGACCCCAGACCTTAATATTAACTAACAACACAATTGCAAATTGTAATTACAAATTCCTAGCAAAGGAGTAAAAACACACAGAATATTTGTACAAAGATATTGATATCACCACCGTCTCTTCCTCAGCCCAGCTGTTGTCCTCATGTGGGAGACATAATAGTACATTGGAGAAACATGTCCTTTATTTAATCAAACAAACTCATTTTGATTCTCCTGAGTTGTATTCTAAAAACTTACCTAAATATAAATTGAAAGTAAGAATTCAGCATCATGAAGAGATTTTTGGAGCAACTTCTTGGACAGTGTATTTGAAGGAGAGAAAATGTCCCAGCCCCAGTAGCCACTGTGATGGTTAATTTCATGTGTCAACTTGGTTGGGCCCTGGAGTTCCCAGATGACACATTAATAGCAGGTGTATGAGTGAGGGCATTTCCAGGTGATGTTCGAGTCCAGTAAAGCAGATTGCCCTCCCTGATATGAGTGGACACCATCCAATCTATTAAACTGAAAAGAACGAAGCTTCCTTCCCTTCCTGCTTGCTTGCTAGGGCTGGGACACTGGTCCTCTCCTGCCACTTGGGTCTGGGATTCACACCATCAGCTCCCTGGTTCTCAGGCCTTTGGACTCGGGCTGAAATTGCATTGTCAACTTCCTGGTTTTATAGCTTGCAGATGGCAGGTCATGAGACTTCCCTGCTCTAAGCCTCCATGATAGTGAACTAATTCCTAATCTCTCTCTCTTCTCCCTCCCTCGTACTTCTCTCTCACTCACTCAAATATACAGACATTATATATATACATGCAGATATATAATAATTATATATATATATAATTATACACACATATATATACAATGTGGTGCACAAAGGACAGGCATTTATTTCCAGCCAAACTAGCATTTCTAGAGAAGCTGTCCCATGTTGGGATCAGTGAGATGAGTCACACAGCAGTGTTTAATGTGGGAGGGAATCTTCAGGAAATTTTTTCCCATTGCTGACTTCACTCCTTGTTTCCTGCCTCTCAATCACTCCTTATCTTCAGCAGGGAGGTCTGCAAAAGCATACTCTTGGGAAACGAGAAAGCTTGTCATATACATGATGCTTATCTCATGTAGTTTTGCTTAGAGGTAGGAAGCTGTGTATGAGGTGACCTACACCTGGGGACCTCAGTCAACAGGAAAATTCCTTTACTCTTCCTGTACTCACAAAAGGAGGTGCACCAGCTAAGTCTATGTTGGTGACCGGACGCTTGGTGTATGGCCAACCTCTTTCACTGCTTTCTTTGAACTTGGGAGCACTAGGACACTTAAATATTAAACTTCAAGGCAGGTGCTACACATTTGGGATGTAGCTTCTTGGTTGGTTTGCTGCAATCATGTAAATTTCTATTGTTTAAAATGTCCTGCCACAGACCCTAAAGCTGGATCTCACGAGGGCGCAGTGTCAGGGCATGCACTGATCCTTTGAGTGTTGACATATTTCTGTGATATGGATCCACCTGTGTGTGGTTTTGCACCTATGCACTATCCTGACCCCAATATCAAAAAGGAAGAGAGACCACTTAAAGGCTATTTATGTCAAATAACTTGAAAATTTACAAAGGTAAAAATGGATGTGTTGCTGCAATCTCAGTGGACGAGACTTCTTTCATGAAGATTCATTCTGTTACTTTAAAAAAATGCCTCATCATTGTAGCAAATGGCACACCGGAAGACCTTTCTAGTTTAGCAAGTTGCATAGACTTGCCTGAAGAAATCTTAGGCATTTCTGTATATAACAAAGTTTCCAGGAGTCAACTCTCTTTGGAGAAAATTTCTTATTTTGAATGACAACTCATGATTACACCAACAAACACCACTGTTCTCTTTTGCAGCCGAACAGATGAAGACCAGGCACACCCACTGGAAGATAAAAAAAGACCAAGGATCAAATTTCTAGGGTTTTTTTTTTTTTTAATTTTATTATCACTGTTTTCCACTGCTGTTGATTCTGATGCCATTTGAACCTGAATTTGGACATCCTCAATAAAAAGTGCATTTTGAAAAGCAAGCTATTGTATCTGGATAAATTAGTGAATAGTTTCTATGTATTTAGAAATAATTACCATATTCAGATTCTAGTTTGAATCTTTGGAAAAAAAGAGCACATGTCGAAAATTTGAGAGTATGCATTGTAATTTCGGCTTCATCACCAAGGTTAGGGAGGAAAATATTCTGAATAAATCCATGGTTTGCTTACTCAAACAGAACCATTAAATAAATGTGATTTTCAGTTTAAGAGAAGTAACATGTTGATCTGATCTCATCTTTTTAGATATATTTGAGGAGTTGACAACACTATTAGTTAGGGTAGAGGTTAAGTTGCTTTAATATAGTGACCCTTACAGTGTCTGCCTACAGACCCAGTTTTAGGGAGAATATTCCAGGGTGGTGGGAAGGTTCTAACTCACATGGTGATTAAGGAACCAAGCTTGTTGTCCTACCTGGTCCTTATCCAAATAATCAAAGCTGGTTGGTCACATCCATGACCACCCCAGTTTATACAAATGAGAAAGGTGTCCAGGAACAAGTGGCTTGTCCCAAACGTTGCACACATTCTCGTTGTCTTTGGCCTGAACTTTGTCACAAAGCCACAGTTGGAAAAAAAGAGGCTGCAAATGCACTCTCTATCTAGGCATTCATATGCCTCAATTTAAATTCTTACTCTGAAATGAGGAGAGAACAGATGTGGGTAGACAACCAGGAGTTTTCTGGTCTTTGTGAGACATTCTGACAGAAACATTAGAATGCTGAACTTGGAAGGCAGGACTCATGGCTCAAATGATGGTTAAAATGTACTAAAGATCATATTGCAGAATAAGGAAAACAGAAAGCGTTCTATTCCAAATGGATCTTTTTGGGAGAAGCAGTAATGCAGAAAGATAGTAAAAGGCCCAGAGCTTAAATAAACACATTTGAATAGGAGGTGATGTGTTGCAAGACAAATGAAAGTCAGTAGATTTACCATGTCTCTATCCAAATGAAAATAAGGTCACCCCTGATTCCGAGAAGTTCATATAGGAAAGGGAAAGAATTCTAATTAGGATTAAGAACATTATCTCTCTCCAAATGTCTGCAAGGATAGAATACTGGTTCTGTCTATGGCTATACCTATAATTTTGCAATATGACTTTTTTAAAAGGAGAAGACAATTTGGTAAACTGATAACTAATTTAGATAATACTAATTGTATTGGGTGGAGGAAGATTAGGAGAGTTATAAAAGAAACCTCAAGTGTGCTCTGCATGGGATATTATTGAAAACATGAATATTGTGTAAAGCTGTTATCCCTTCCACAAAAGAGAGATGATTCCTGGATGTGCTTGCGTTCTACAAAATCAGAAAAGGAGGAGCTAGGGGCAGGGGTGGAGGGCATAGTTGTTATGCTGATTTTGGCATTCTCTGGAAGCTCTCTATAATTCCCCTCTGTAAATGGTGCTTACTTCCATGTTCATGTGACCTATTGTATAACATCATTACCTGGCTTTGTAATCACAAACTATAATTTGCATGTGGATTACTAGTACAAATTTACTTCCTTCTCAGTTAAATGCAAATAACATTGGATGTTAAGAACCCTCTTTAGTTATGCACACAATTTGCTGCCTTAACATCGCACATCGCGGGGCATATACATATCCCTTCTGGTGGAATGGTTGCTATCATTGAATCTGTTTTTGGAGGGTGAGTCAAATATTTGTTTCCCATTTTAAATAAACATAGCGTGCTAATCTCCATCAGTGCAGTGGTCGGTATAGAGCCTGTGCAGAATTATTTGGGGGGGAATCATATGTTCTTCATGTCATGATAGTCAACAGCAAAAGCCACATCCTCTGAGATAACAAGCTTCCTTCCACTACAGAAATCCAAATCAAATTCAAAACCAGTATCTCTGAGCTTGTTATTTTCTGTCCTTCTTCTGCTGGCCCAACAACCCTTTCTCCAGTCTTCTCTGCCTCACTCTGCCATGGAGGGTGGTCTTTGTGCACCACACATCCTGAGCTCCATTGCTCATGGACTCATGATTAGATTTGGCCAATCTTGGGAAGTCAGGGTGAGAGTAAAGGTTTGGGGTAGTTCTTCCTGGTCCCTTCCACACTCTATCCCATTCCCAGTTGGTCTGCTCTCTAACCACAGGCCCCACTGGGTGACCCCTCTATCTTCTTATTTCTCCTTGCTCCAGCAGCCTGGTTTCCTCTCCTTGTCCCTTCAGTTTAGAGGTGGTAGGTGCTTCCCCACTGTGGCAAGTGCCTAGGTACCTTGCCAGCTGTTGTTTATTACCTCATCCAACCCAAGGCTCTGTAAGTGATGCATCCTTTCCTTCAAGTTTTGTCATTGCAACCAACTGTGGTCAATTCTATTTTCCCTAGAACATGACAGGAAGGTAGCTGACAAGTCTTCGAGTTAATCTACATTCAACAGCCTTTGCAAAGATTTAGCTAAGCTCACTCTGATTTCCTTTGTTTCTCTCCAAGTCCTCACCCCAATAAAATCTGTTCTTGTCAAAGTCACCAATGACGTCAATAAGACTCACCCAACAATCAGCTCTCAGCCTTCATCTTATGTTATCTTATGTTATCTTTTAACAGCGTTGGATGCAGATGACAATTTCCCCCTTCTTGAAATTTCTTCTTCACTTGGATTCTTGGCCATCATTCTCTATGGGCTTTGCTAAGACTTCAACAGCCATTTTTTCCTCCTTTGCTGATCCCTTCTTGGGTCAAAACTGTTTTTCACGAGCACTTAGACTGTCTTTCTGAATCTCCCTTACAGATTGGAGGGATCATAGGGACTACTTCTCAGGTTGGTGTCTGAAATCCTCCATTGTACCATTCTCCATGCCCCTTTCTCCTCAATGCAGATGCCCATGATGACCTTGGAAGCCATGTGTTAAAGACAGAGAAGCCACAAATAGGAGAGTCACTCATCAATCAGTTGCACCCATTTAGGATTTTATGTGAATGAGAAATATACTTCTGATAAGTTTAAACCATTATTCATTTCTATTCCTTTATTGGCTACAGCAGGGACTGTTACTTACATGAATCCACTCCTTATCTCTTCATCTCATGAACACTGAGTGCCCAGAGCTCAGTCCTTGGAGCTCTTCTTTTTCTACACTCTTCCAGTGACTTCAACCAATCTCAAGTCTTTAAATACTATGTTTTTGTAGCTTCATCTTTCTAGTTGCTCAGACTAAAAGCCATTCTTGAACCCCATACCTGATCAACCAATAACTCCACTTGATTCTGCCTTCAAAATATATTCAGTACCTGTCCCCTTCTCATCATCTCCACTGGGGGTATGGTGATCAAGTAGCTGTACTTGGAATGTGGCAACAGCCTCTTATTGGTCTGCCCAATTGTGGCCTTGCCTTTGTCAGTATGTCCTTAACCTTGTCACCAAAATGACTGTTAGAATGAAAGTCAGATCATGTCACTCCTCTGCTTAAAACCTTCCTACCTCTGTATCCCATTCTGCAGATACACAGCAGTCCCTACAACGGTTGACAGAGCCCTAAGTGAGCAGCCTCTCATACCTCTTGACCTTATATTCTACAGTTCTTTGTCTCAACACCCCTAGCCCACTGACCCCTTTGCTCATCCAGAGCCTCTCTCCTCCCCCCAGATGGTCCCAGGGCCTCCACTCATCACCCGCCTGATGGAGATAGCACCTTGTCGGTGAGATTTCCAAGGTCACCCACTAAAGCACAATTCTTCCTACACAAGCACCTCTCTTTCCTTGTTAGTCTTGTCCTGTAGCAGTAATTGAAATCATGCAAACAATCTCTTTGATTAAGTTATCTTGTTTCTTTGGTCTTTCCTCCTGGGATTCAGCTCAACATGAGGATTTTTATTTTGTTCTCTGCTGTACTTAAGCATCTAGAACAGGGCCTGGCGCACGTAGCAGTGCTCCAGTTGTGGAATGAATGAATAAATGAATGATTTTTTTGTACTCCTTTTAAATCAGATGGGAAAAATCTTAAGTTTTAAAGTGTTTCTTAAAAAAACGGCTGCATGTAAGGGAAAGGAAAGAAGGAAGGAAAGAGTGGACAGTTATGGCTTCTCACTCTAGCAGGAGATGTGCTGCCCTATAACCAACCAAGCCTTCAGAACGGACTCCACCCCAATAATCATGCTGTTGGGGCCATCGCAAAACACGTGGTCCTCTGGCCAGCATCCCAAGAGTCCATGGCAGGCAGGTGCTGGAAATGACCTTGGTTAGATTTTATATAACAATGTGTTAAACCAAGTGGGTCCTTATTTTATGTACTAATAACAAGTGGCTATAATTTTAACATGTTTTTAAAGGTATTGGTATTTCTTTTTGTAAAAGTAGTATATAATCAGCATACCTAACTAGGAAAATGCAGAAAAGGAATGAGGAAAAGAGTTAAAGGGGGAAAATGCATCATACATACAATAGCAGTTACCAGATTTGGGGGCAAGAGAGAAAGGGGAGCTGGTGGTGAATCAGTATAGAGTTTTGTCTTGCTTGCAAGACTAAAAATTCTAGGGATCGTTTCACACTGTGAATACACTTACCACTACTGAACTATGCATTTTAACATCATTAGTTGAGGTATAAATCATCTTAAAGAGGAAAAATGCCCAAAAAAAGGAATGGAAAAAAAAGGACTGATTAAAAAGGATTATCTATAGTCACAATGACATAATTAACATATTGGTGCATGGCCTACTTATATTTAAAAACTGTCCTCTTTGAAAGACTTCAGTAAGTTGAATACATTAGCTTGAACCTCGATGCACAGAACATAAAACGTGAATCACTTATCAAATGCTGAACCAGAGCTGCTCTCATGTCTCGCCGCACACGCTTGACAATCAGTTCACGTGATCATAATTATCCTGTCATCAGCAGCATTTAATGGCAGACAGGGCCATTCAGACATTCTAAAGAGCCCAATGTGCAGATTTCAGTTACCCGTTTTCTCAATGTGAAGAACAATTCCATTTATGTAGCAGAATGAAATATTTCTTAGTTAA